GAGGAGTAGGTGAAATGAGAAAGAAAGAAAAAACAAAACACCTGGAGAAGGGGAAAAAAAAGGAGACATTTCAGTTTACGATAAGATTTTGATTTGTTTTCATTCTGGGAGCGGAATTAAAGGGGGCCGGGGAGGAGGATGGTAAGTGATTCTTCAGAAAGTACAAGAGTGTCCGAAAATGTCAGACATGAAAGTGGCAGGAGGAAGAAGGCCAGGGAAGGCACCTGGGGCTTTCAGGTGAGTGAATCTTCAAGGAGGTACTTGAAGGAGATTTTATAAGCTGAAGCCTAGAAGACAGACAGCCAAAACACTGTGTTTGCCCCAGGTGCAAATTCTTAGAGAAAGTACAGATTCAGGATTGGAGGGGTGCCTGTGCGTGTATAGAGAGGGCGGGGACAACATGATGATCACACTTTTAAAACTGAATAAAACGCAAATTTCCTGGAAGTTGACTTGTCTTTATCACATGCAGTTTCACTAGGTATTATTTAGATCACTAGATCATGCCTTCTGTTTATTTTGATTAAAGAAGAAAAAAAAGACTTACCCCTCCAGGAATCAATACATTTATTTTAAAAGGTGCATCAGTAATTTTCATGGACTTTTTCATGGAATAAATAAATGCCTTTAAGCATATAAGCAATTTAATTCATCTCAAAGGAGGTCTCAGAGTGGTGTGTGTGCCAAAATGCATCCCAAGTTGTTTATTTGAAAACTTATTTGGCACTGGAAGTAAATAATGCATTTATAGTAAAAAATAAAAGAAAGCAAATGTTTATTTTTTTCTGAAAATTTTTCATTAAAAATATAATACTGAGAAAATAATATATACGATGAAGTTACTATTCTAAGTTCTTAAATTGAAGATGACATTCATTTCACTCTAAAATTGATCAGATAGTTAAAAGCCTTTGCTTTGGGAAATATAAAGTATATAAATTGTTCAACATAAATGTGCAGGTGTGGTAAACCAGCCCAATATTTTCTGGTGGAAAACTACTCTGGAAACCCATATATTTATAGCTTGAGTAAAAAGGGAATAGTTTTAAATTTGTTGACAAATTTATTTGGACACTTATTATAAACGGAAGTAGCTTATTTTCTGGATATCAATTTACATATAGTTTTATGAAATAATCCTAGAATAAAATAGCCTACCGAATATATAAAATACAGCAATGAAATGGGAGAAAAAATACAGTTTCCTATTCCTATTAAAATACTCTAGCTAAACGTTCAACACAGTAAATAACAAAGAGTCCAACAGTCTTGAAATTTGGAATGTAGCAATCAGGATTTTTATTACAGACATTTTGGCATTGGGGTAAAATCTGATTTCATAACAGGGATATTTTATTATGCATTACTTGAGTAATGCTGTAGTTGATTTTATTGCCACCAGAGGGCAGAAAAACTGCTATTTTCTTCTATTTCCATTCCCTAAATCTCTGATTAATGATCCTCAATATTTTGTTTTTCCTATGTGTAATATTTTTTGGTATTTCAGCTTTTATAAATGAGTGACAATTTTCTATAATGAGAGCTTGTTATATTTTTTTTGTTTTCATTGAAATTAACTAAATATAAATTCATTCAACCTCCTACATGTAAAAAGACCTACACTTTGAATACATCCTTATGGTGTAATAAGTGCAGTGGAAAAAAAACAAATACCCTCTTTTGTTTTATTGCTGGAGATTGTTAAAAAATTACTGTAGAATTCCCAAGAATATAGTTTTAAAATACCTCTCATTAAAAGGTCATTATTATATAATTAATTTAAGTTTAGGATTGAATATACTTTATGCATATATGCACAGTCTTTGCTCATGCTAAGTAGTATATCTCAACACCAATACTTAGAATAACTATTGGAATAATAAATCTCAAATCATCTTTATATGATAATACATTCATTTTTGAAAAACAGTTTAGTAACAATGTCCAAGGAGAAAGATGTATTTCTGTCTTGAAAATTTCTAAAATTTAAGTGAGAAAAAAGGCCTTAAATATGTAGTTAGATTTTTATTTGATTATTACTCTCAAATGTAACTAATGCAACAAGAAAGCTTATTATCACTATGCAGAGAGAGCAAAACTAGTTTAGGACCCAAGGGGATTTTAACTTTTTAAACTTTCTAATATCGTTATGTTCTAGGGACAAGTAGTTTATTTGTAGTAGATTATTTACATTTATTTTTGTTGTTTCTCCAGTTGGGTATTTTATTTGTCTGTTTTCATTGGAATTACAAAACTTAGTGTGAAACATTACTGACTTGTGGAGTTTGTTATGAGAGTATCTCTGTTGAGACACGCTGTCACTAATATACATTTTCCAACTGCAAAAGACGTGGGTCAGGTAATCAGACAAATGACAGCCATTACGTGTGATTGCATACAAAACAATTTTAAAATATGAAATGTGAGAGGCTTTGTCCTTTAGAAAGTACATGCAAGTTGAAGCCTGAGGTTGTGCAAGTTTGGCCTGTGATGTCAGTGTGATCTAGAACATTTACGTCAGAGATAAGGTTTTAGTTCATGGATGTCTGCATAGAGATTTTGAGTTAGTATATTTATAAAGATGAATGGATTGATCAACAACTATGATCCTGAGACCCAAAGTCTTAGCCTTTTCCTTTAAATACAGTCTCTACACTGTAGCTTTCAAGACCCTGTCATCTCAAACTACTTTTCCACCTCTTTCTCCTCTGTATGTTTTTTTAACACTCTAACCAAATGTGGCTTCTTGATGTTCCCTGAGCATATATCATGTGTTGCTATCTCTTTGCCATTCCTTCTGCTCTTCCTTCCCTAATCCACCTCCATCCATCCCTCTTCTACTTTTCCCGCTTCACAGAAGGATGTGATGTTTTAGATCCCACGGAGAACTCTATGCCTTGTCTAAGGCTCTTGTTTAACTCTGCTTGATATTGTAGGAGTATTTTTTCCTCCCTTTTCTGCATCTTTCATGCATTCTCAGAGAGCACATCACATGCTCTGAAAGTCACAGTCTACATTGTTCACTTCTGAATCCCCTGAGGCACCTGCCACCTAGACATGCAATAAGCAGTTGTTGAACTGAGTGAAATTATAATTCAAGCTAGATGGACTGCTGACTTGAAGGTCACCTTGGAAGGCATTTTCTTACCTCTATCACTTTTTCCAGCAATAAGATGGAAATGAATACATAGATGGGCTTTACAGAATAATAGTTTAAAATGAGAGAATAGGATGAAGAGGTCTGCCCAACTGTTATAATGCATCTAGCAGATGATATATATTTACACTAAACTTTCTATTAATATACAGAACTTTGAAAAAGTTTATTTTACCATCCTACTATACTTCTGGTTTCTGACTCAATTTTCTCTCATGTTCTTAATTTAATACCTTAAAGTATGGTGTGTACATGTGCGTGTTTGTATATAAAATGTATATGTGTAAATGCATATATATATATAATCAGTGATAGTCTAATTTCAGTGGAGATGAACACTATTAAATAATTGTAGTACCCAGTGAAATTACTTTTGAACGGAACTGGGCTTAGGCCTCATGCCATTAACATATACAGAAGGAGGCTTTAAAAACATAGTTTCATAAACTTGTTATGGTAGTTGTTATGGGGGCATGGCGGGTGGTGTTTTGCAATGCTTAACGCAGGGTCTGCTTCCTGAGTGGCAGAGAGAGAGAGAGAGAGAGGGAGAAGGAGGGGCAGGGAGAGAGAGACAGGATCTTGTGTTTTACTAAGAGAAATAACAGATAATATACAGTTCTTCTGAACGGGTTGTTTGTATTTGTTTGTGTCTTCTGGACATTATGAAGAGTGACCAGATGCGTTACCTTTTACATCTCGGTTTCTTGAAAGCTCAGAGCATAATTAGTGGCCCACCTCCAACAAGTATTTGAACCTTCTGGCCTACA